CTCTCGCCTTTCAACATTCGGGCGCGCGCGCTTATGAAAGTACATTTTGGCTTGTGTTACCCCAACCGATTCTGTTACCAAAGCCTCCGGCGAGATAAGGTTTCATTTTTTGGACATTCAAGTATGCGATGGCCGATTTCGACACAAACACGTGTACAAGAGAAGCGAAAGATAAAACGATGCGATTCTGATGTCACTGATCGCATGCAATGCATTAAAACAACTGTTCGCAATTTATTCGTCGTGGCTCGACCTCGGGCTCCAATTTAGACTTACGCTAACAATTAGTGTTACGATGTGGTCAATTGGTCAAAATGATAATTAATCTTCATGATTCTTTGTTAATTGATCTATGGAATTGATCCATATATAAGGGTCCATCCCTTGCGAGCAGTGCGGATAGAATTCATACTGATCTGATGTCATCCGCTAAAGTCTCAACAAAGTCCACCAATAAACTGCGTGAACCGCAAGAGAGATATACTTCCATATATTAGACTGAGCTGAATTGACGACTACGTTGAATTGTAGACGTTTTCAGTTGGCGGGAAATTATTGAATTCAAATTTGAAATTTGTTCAATGTTGAATTTGGTTTTTATTTTTGCATTGAAGTGGAGTTATTGAGTTATTTTTTGTTTGTTCCACATTTATTTATTTGTATTGCGATGCAGGAGGCAGGTTGTGAGTGGGTGTGTTTATGAAAATGGTAGGAATTAGCATTGCCCAGCACTGTGAATTCAGCACTTCAGTGCAACTTTGCGCGAACTTCCAAGACACAAAAATGTCTCGTTGTTTCTAAAATTTATGCTTTAGGGACTTGAATTTGGATTCGATTTAGCCACTCAACTATCAATGGACTCAACGACCTCGATCAATGAGTCCGAGAATGATGAGAATCAGTCTGAAATGGATGGTAATCATTAGTTAGTTGATTTTTGAAAGGGTGAATTGCAAGAGTAATAAATCCATGCGTACAGATTTGTTCACAGTTGGAGCCAATCGAATTGTTGTTGAAATTTTTTGGCAACATTTGTTTTCTTATCATAAAGTTGTATGAATGATGTGAACTCATTGTGAGCAAGTTTATGACTGGTGTCTAAAGCTCACGGATGCTTATTTGCAGTTTTGTCGCAGTCGACTGACAGCTCAAGCACGTCGAGTTATTATGATAGGAATGCGGATCGAAGTCGAAGTTTTCTCACTCCACTGAAAGGTTTCTTTTCTGCTGATATTATTTCAGTGTCAGTTCGTGTCATCTGTAGCGTTCTATCAAGAGAGATATCTGTCCATATATTCACTTCATGTCATTGAAAACGGACTTTCATGTCACGGACTTTCATTGTTTTATTTGAGTTTATTTCAATTCATCAAATATATTAAAGAACTGTAAGAGACTGAGTTGATATTTCAGATCAATCGGTTCGTTCCAAGCCATTCGCGTGGCATCTTAAAGAGCGTCTACATCCCAAAACACCGCTAAACAACCGCGACGATGGTGTATGTTTTCAGCGAGGAATTTTAGATTTTCTTTCCAATTGGTTTTCATTTATTCACTGTTATACTAATGAAAGATTATAGTGAAACTGTAATTCCATGTCAATTCCATCTTAATTTCACGTTGAGGTTTTCATTGTAGGCATTTATATCTTAAACGCTCGCAATCTGCGATTGTTAAATTGTGTTCCATCCTGAGGTAGACAATTCGTTGAATTTGTCAAGCCATTCTACTAGTGAAGAATTTCCAACGTTTGAAGTTTCACGTTTGAATCGTTTTGCCAAATTTCTGAGTGCTTTTTTTTNTTTTTTTTCGGGTGATTTGAGTGAGTTTTTAATTGGCTGAATGACACGCACAGTCATTTTTCAATTAGCTGAACAGCTTTATCGTCGAGTGCCTGGTTATGTTCTTTTGAGTGTACCGTAATGAAGCATCTTGTCGGCTGGATGAGTAGTCAGAAAATAATGCACATCGACAATTATTCATCAAGTTGCTATGACGGTTTCAAGACGCACTGCAATTACGGAGAGGAAAAACTGTTTGGCATTAATTGTTGGATGAATTAAAGGAAACAATTCTTTTAGAAACTATCGATTGTGGGCAGTAGTAGGGACAGTAAGGCAAATTGTATATCGTCATCAACACCGAATCATCTACGCCACCATTCAGCATTCACTTTTCATGCTGACGACGGTGATGTTGCGATGAGTCCTATACTGAAGACGAACGAGAAATGCTTCGTTAATGAGGATAATGCAGTTGATGACATTTCATCGCCAAAAACAGAGCAGCAGGTTGATCATTACTCGTATTGTTGCTTAGTGATTTTTATCATGTTTCCATTGTTTCTTACTGTTTTCGATAAATCAGAGATTATAAAACAGTAGTGGTAAAATATCAGTAATAGAGTAAGTAAAACTCTTGTTATCAACAAAGCTAAGAGGGTGCCTACCTTCAAGGTCAGTTATTGAGTTCAGCATTTTTGGTCGCTGCGCCTTTTGATTTAATTACCGGTTTGGAATTTAACCTGAGATCAGTCATGTCGTTAAAGTTTGTAAATTGTCACTCTGCCTCATTGGTTGATGAGTTTATGATTTAAAGTGATCATTTCCACTCATAATGGTAGCGTTGAGAAATTGTGTGCACATAAGCGTGTATTCAATAATTTTTTTACGAACAATTTCTCGATGTTTTACTTATAATAAATATACAATATGGTTGCAGAAAAGTGAAGCGGCCACAACGAATCTGAGTATGAGTGATGTTTTTGAAGTGTGCAGTGAAGATGAAGGCACTGAAAAGGGTGATGATGATGAGGGTATTACATCTAATATGCAAAGTTATCGACGACGAAATATTCGCGATTCAAAATCGTAAATTCTCATACTTTATCTCTTTCAGAAATAGTTGCATTTTAGAATCTCTGACCAAATTCACAAAAACATTACACCTCATTTATGACGGTCTCATCTGATCTCATTTAATAGTTGTTTCGAATATGAAGTGATTGGATGTCAGATTTTGCGTTGGGAAAAATGTTTTATTCACACTGGTTCTGCCCGTTTTATTTGTCCTTTATTTACATCAGCGATAATATTTCTTATGCGCAAAAATGTTCGGCAATATTCTGAATTGGGCAACAATTTCCACTTGTAGATTCAACTCAAATTCAAGCGGTGAAATTTTCGAAGACGTTCATCATTCATCGCTTCTCAGTGAACAAGAATCGAATCATGTATTGGCGAATAGTGCCCACAACATTGACAATAACAGTGCGAGGTATTAAATTGCTGAGCAATTTATATGATTGCTTCTTTATCGAATTATGTCGTTGTCATAATCGTACATGTGAGATATAAAGGGAGATGACGATAGGATGATAGCTGAATGATTGATACTGAGACTTAAAATCTGTTATGATACTAACTGTTAAACGGTGAATGAGCATGTATCTAGTATGCACGTAAACCATCTTTGCATGGCAGCAATGATCAATATTGTTTTCCGTTCTATCGCAGAAGATTAATCCGTAATTATTAGATGAAGTGCGATTGCAAAAGTGCCGTAGAGCACTCACATTTCTAAGCCACTTAAGGTGATTTAAATAATAATGATATTAGCGATTCAATGATAACGGCTAAAATTTCTCTTGTGATTCAACTAACTGTGATGTTTGCGAATTTGAAAGATGAAGTTGGGTGTATAATTACGGCAAAAATATTTGCAGTATCATTCAGAGTACCGCGTCATGCAATGCTGGTACAAATGAAGATAGTCACTGTGACGTCGACTCACAAGATGAATCACACTCATCACGATCGTTCGAGACGGATGATTCGGCACACGAAAGGTCATTTTATGAAGTTGTTTGCATTTTATTTTTGCCGATTATTGATATTATATCCATGAAATCCAGTTTCTTGTTCCTATGCAATCAAATAAATAATAGCCAGTACCGTATGAATTTTTAGTGGCATGAGATTTAATGAAGGTGTGGCGAATTCTAGAATACGGAAAATAAATTCGAATAAGCATCGTACAATCGCATCACTCTCAACTGATGATGAGGATGGCAGCGATGGAACTGGGAAGGAGCGTGATGAATCTGAAGGTGATGATCGATCGGTAAATGAATCTGTTCCAGAAGAAGCTGATGATAACAAGAGTAGATTGACTGTAGAGGAAGCAGCGTCATCTGATATCATCAACGATGATAACAGTATTATTGTTATCAGTGACGATAGTGATGTTGATGAACAACATCCTGTGAATAGTTCAAAGGTTTGTCTTCTTCATTGGGCTCTTTCGATTTGAATGAAATGAATGTGTTTGAACGAAGTCGAGTGTGTAATGGATATGTTGAGTTGTTTTATTTTGATCGTTAGTGATCAGTTTATTGAATGCATGAACAAGCACATGTTTTCTTTAGATATGCATTTGCGACGATCACTGACTGATACATCTCAGCTGAGAATCATAGATGAATCGTGTTGATTACATCAAGTATGTAAACTTCAAAAAAATAATTTTCCAGAGAGCGGATGTAGTCATCGAAGATGAATCGTCAGCTGAAGAAGACGCAAAATCAGACGAAGAATCAAAGACCAATGAAATGGGTCGAAAACAGTTAAAAGATGTGGAAACAGAAGAAGAGGAGCCACAGAAAAGAAGTACGCCGCAAAGAGCGATCGCTTCCTTCAGACGTCTTTCACCAGCATCGCAACGTTTCAAAGAGGTGAAAACTTGTTTTCGTTTTTGAATTCATTGAAATTCTGATAAAACATTTAATCCTCAGTGCCATTTTTTACTAACTTCAATCAGAAATTTGTTCCTGGATCGAATGTAAACTGCTGCCGTGCTACTAGAGAGATGGATGAATTTTATTTTTCAAATAATCATCTTCAGACTCTCCGCGATTTGACCAACGAGCAACTCCAACAGCGTCTTGAATCTTTGAATGTTTGTTTCTTTTTTCGTTCAGGATTTTCCTTGTACGTATTGTTTATAGTTTCTTTCTGGAGCTCTTCGAAAACAACTTCTGTTTATCGTGTTTGGGAATACGGATATTCATTTGGGCATAATGATTTGATTTGCACAGCACCCAAATTCTGAGACCAAACTTGCTTTAAATTAAGTCAAAGACTACGTGATCTTCAAAGTGACTTTCATAACGAATACTGCATTCTGGGATTGATCAGTTCTAATTTTATCGCAATTGTAATGCTCAGAAATTGAAAGTGGTCGACGTTGCAAAACTGCCAGATGGTGGAAAGCGTTTGATGACAAATATTGAACTCATAAAAGAGCTGTTGAAGCAACGTTCTGAGGACGGAAATGACAACGACGAAAGTATTATTGATGTCACTCCGGACTGTGCGTTCTTTTCATGCGTTCTTTGATATTAATCGCTGTCAGATTGAGTGAAGGAAAATTGAATCCGCGATCAAATGATGCAAGTTGAACGGTCATTGAGTTTTTGTGTGAGATGTTGTCGAATGGTTTGCATGATATTAAGTTCACAGTATTTTTTAGACATCCGAACATATGTGGGATCTTTTCAGATGATAAGCCGAAAGTACCAACGAAGGGACCAATTATGATTGAACCAAAACCTCTGAATGCCGAAGAATACAATCGCTTGATAACAAGTAAGAAGCAATTCTTGTCTACTTTAATGGTGTATTTCGTTCGCTGATTGAGACTGATAATATTGCATCGTTTCTTACGTTGAAATTTGTCTCAGCATTTAACACTTTATTTTTTATGGTTATCGTGATGTTCGATTGGGTGAAGAAATTAACTTTCTGAAAACCGGAACTAAGCATTTCGTTCAGTAATTCTGAGGTGTTGTTTCAAAGTGAACACTTATTTAGCATTGATTTTTACGACTCATCTTAAAACAGGACAAACAAAGCCCGTATTTTTTGGCGATGGAGGGGGGAGGGATGTACACTTTTCTTATTGAGATGATTTGTACAAATCTATTTCTATAATTAGACGCAGTCTTCAGTTGAGGTAGACGGCATTTTTTAGCTAATGAATATCATTTTCATGAAATATTGGAATAATTTCGGGTGTCCTAGAACACTGAGCAAATGCCTCTAGAACGGAAAGTCGATTCTGTGTATGATTCTGTCACACATTAATTTTTCACCTTCTTCAGATCGCCAACCTCCAAAACTGTTTGGTGGGAAAATGACTGATGATCGATTTGTGGTTGCAAAAGCGATCACAGGTGATGTTATTGCAAAAATGCACAGGTGAGATTTATTAAGTTATAGTTTGAATTGTTATTGATCGTAGATTAATTGTTCGATTCTGAATTGATTCTTTTGCATGGTATAGCATTGCTGTGTTCGCATAGTTTATAATGAAACTGTATGGTCATCTAATGTGGACTGGAATCTGTTTTGACTTGAGCCGAATTTATTAGTGATCTGTTGGTTGATGGCTTGTTCCCTCATTATGGTCGTTTCCACGGTCATGTGATTGCCATGACCGTGAGAAGTGTGATTCTGTTGCAAGGATACCGAGAATGCTTGTTGCAATATTACTTTTGTTGTTGTTATAGTTGGATGATTCATACTTAAACATTCTAGTTCGCTATCAACAGCACCAGAAAACGTCGAAACGTCGACACCGGATGGATTGAAGACTGAGTTAATGTATCATCAGAGGTGCGGTCTTACATGGCTGTTGTGGAGAGAAAAACAATCGCCACCTGGTGGTATACTTGGTGAGTGTTTTTTTTCGTTTTCCTTTTAGATATGATAGGGATTATGAGTATTTTCTTATTTACCTCATTTGTAAACGTTCATTTACCATTCTGTTTATTATTGATATATTCATACCAGTACATTGTATGTTTTCTTTTAGTCGTTCATTTTAGTTAATTTTGAAATGTTAGTTTTTGGAACTTCCAATGTGATCGGGTCAATGAATTATTTGGTTGTGATGCAAGTTGGTACGGTTTAATTGAACTCAATTCTAGCTGATGATATGGGTTTGGGCAAGACGTTGAGTATAATCGCGTTAATTGTTCATCAAAAAAATGAACAACGCAAGAAGACAGACGAAGATGACAAAGCGACAGAATTGAAACGAAAAGCATTACGCGACAATAAGTTGATACCATCAAAAGGTACTCTCGTCATTGCACCGGCATCATTGATATTCCAGTGGGAAGCTGAAATTAATTGTCATGTCAAAACCGGTCGACTGAATGTTTTAATATTCCACGGACCAAAACAGAAACGAGAAGATGATCCGAAGCTATTGGCTAGATACGACGTTGTTATAACCACCTACAATCTTTTAGCAAACGAGCTCGGCGAAAAGGTTTGCAATTCATAATATTGAACTCGTACGTTCATTGCGATTTCACTGTGAATGAAATGATTTCACTGATGAAAATTCCATGATTCAGCATACTGAGAAATTCACTTCAGTTTTGCTTTTCATTTGTTAAACTTTTTTGACAGATTAGATTTTCGAAGAAAATTTTCGATACTTTATGTGTAGCAGAAAATTGTCGAGAGTTCGCTAAGCATTTTGGTCATGGCAATGATAGGATGAACTTGGTTGATAGTCAAAGCTTAATTGTAGGCGCCTATCATTGATGATTCACTGTCGGATTCGACAGATTCCGACGGTAACGGTTTTCGAGTGAAAGCGAATGTGAAGGGTAAGCGAAAGATATCGAAACAATGCAAGTCGGTGTTGACGAAGATTGCATGGGAACGGATCGTGCTTGACGAAGCGCATCAAATCAAGAACAAGACATCGCTCGCATCAAAGGCTTGCTGTCGGCTGGCTGCTCTGAACCGATGGTGTCTTACTGGTACACCAATTCACAACAAACTATGGGATTTATTCTCATTGATCAGGTCATCGTTTCAACATATTTCCGTTTTTCACCTTATGCACACACATGTTTTCTCGTTATTTGCTGCTTTCTCTAGGAAGACTATTCTGTCGATGTAAAATGCTGAATATCCAGCTCAGATTTTCTTCTCTTCATGAGTTTGCCTAGTCAGTCGATAAATCTCTTGTTACATTCAGCTAAAACTTTGTTTCGGTTATTGATATATTTATTATATCAACATATCAGTCGACATCACATCACTAAACTGAAATATATCAGTAATTGAGGAAGTGAATCAACCGTGCGATTGTTATGATGTTTCCGATTTCATTGATCTGATTCAGTCATGTTTTGCAGATTCTTGCGAGTTACGCCATTCGATGAGGAATCGGTATGGAAGGAATGGATTATGGGACATTCCAGTTAGTTTTTTGAATTATTTTTTCGCGTATTTAGCAGCAGATAATGTCGAGTTTAAATTCAGACTTATGTTTGTATGTTATATTTAAGTGAGCGATCATCATCATGTGAAATTTTCATCTCTTCTTTTCTTACAATTAGCATTTTGTTCAATTGATTAAAGGGATAATAATTTATTCATTGAAGAACGTTTGCAGCAACATCTTCGAACAGATTGAACACTCTCGTTAAAGGACTTTTGCTACGAAGAACAAAAGACCAACTATGCCCGCAAACACAGAAACCAATAGTTTGTTATTCCGTTTCGACAATTTTTGATTGAAACTCCAGAATGAAAATATGAGCCGCCAAATTGAATTAGTTGAACTATAAATTTTTCCCCCTTTTTGATGTCAGTTGTGGGAGTATGAAATTGGAAAGATATTAGAGCTCCAGAATTGCTTCAATTTATTCGCTAATGTATGTTCGCCAGCCCAAAAGTATTTGGTAATTTATGGTTAGACAAGTTTTTGATCAAAAGTTTTCTTGTAGATTCGAGTAAATATTTCTACATTGATGGTTTAATGAGCGGTAATATTACAGGTGGATTTGAAGCCCCGACGATACGAGAAGGTGGAGTTGAGACTTGAAGGCTTAGAAAAGAAAGTTTATGAAATCATGTATCTTGCGTCTAGGTGGGTCTTGTTCAATGATGATTTTAATTTGAATCAAATAGTTCACCAAATAACAACGGATCAAATGAAAAACTTTATCATATTCGATAAATCTGATGAAACATTTTGTCTTAATGTTTTAGACAAAAGGTGAAAGAGTTAATAAAAACATCGGAAGAACGAGAACGTGAAATGTATGGATTGAGTCGTCATCGACGAGGACCACAGATGAACGATGCAACACCAATGCGAAATCCTTTTCTAGGTTTCAATTCATTTCATCAACAATTCACATAAATGAAATAAAACAAGTTTGAGTCGGCGGCCACTCGACCGTAATTTTCGAGCATTTGAGGAACACTGAACGGCGTGGCATTTATGACTAAATTTGGCATTTACTTTCGTTTTTATGATCCGCTATTTGCTTTATTAGCTCATGCAGATTTTAATCAACCAAACAGAAATCGACTTCTGCAATTAGTGATTTGCATTTTGGTGCGATCATTTCGAAGAGTAACCATCACAAATACACTTGATTATGAAAGTCTGAGACGTTCATTTCAAATTTGGTCACTACTGATGGCGATTTCAATCGTTTCTGTTTAGTAACACTTGAACTATAAATTGCTTGAATGATTATTTCAAATGAATCACGTTTTTGTGCAAGTGTTATGTAATGACGTGGAATTTGAACAGGTGGCGCACGTACAATTAGTGCCGAAAACAACTTTCAAGTGATGAGCAGTGTATTGACATTATTATTAAGACTAAGACAAGCGAGTGTTCATTTGGCTCTGACTAAAAAGGTATTCATTTTTCATTTCCATTGGCTGATATTAATCATTTGGAAAGTGCGAGAAGAACATTTTGATAACTATTAGTTGTATGCTGATGTGATTATCTGTATGAAATGTGGATGTTTGTGCGAGGATTGTCATAAACTGATGAGCATTCGTTTTGTTTTGTTAGAAGGAAGAATTTGAAGGCAGTTGATATGGATGCATTCGAAACGATTGGCATTGAAGATGATGAAGTGAAGTCGGAGGAAAGCGGTGGTTTGATTGAGAAATTGGCGAATATGTCCATAATGGAGAATGATGAGCTCGCAAATGAAGCCATTAAACAAGCCAATCATACAAATGTTGAACAACTTTTCGAGCCTTCGTTCCATTCGGCAAAAGTTCATTTTATTATTGTCATTTGAAGTTGATTTTCCTCGAAAAAAGCTGTAGAAGGCATGTTCCATGAGAGTGGAATATAGCAAATCGTTTCTGCGAATATCCTCATAAAACTGGCTCTGAGTTGAAATCAGTAATATGACTCCATGATTTCCGTCTTATTTTGAAAAACTGCTTCCAGATACGGGCCCTCTTGGAGAGATTAGATGAAGCATTATCGGGTGAAGATAAATGGTTAGAATTGAACCGAATTATTTTATTCGTTTATTATTATTTCAGAATAATTTGATAGCCCGGAAATATTTCCAACACCATACATTTCATAGTTACGATGGCTTGAAAATTGATCTGTTTGTCTTGTATACTTGTAAGGAATGATTTTTTGCAGTGTAATTGTGAGTCAGTGGACCTCATTGCTTGATATTGTTGAGTATCATCTGCAGGAGCGTGGTATTGAATATACATCCATCACTGGGAAAGTGCTTACAAAAGACAGGTACATTCTCCTTGACCACTAGAAAGCACTTCCAAACGCGGCGAACAGATCTGCTCAATTTTTAAATATCCGCAGATATCCGTTTGCGAAAGAGTACATTTTAATTTTGAGTACTCACTTGTTAAACATTGAATTATAATCAATTACAATTAAAGATAACCGATTACGAAGATAATTAAATCAAGATTTCGCCTAAGAAATAAATTGGGTGTTCATTTTAAGACAATCGCGAGTGGATAGTTTCAACAAGAATGGAAGTGGTGCACGAGTGATGCTATTGTCGCTGACGGCCGGTGGAGTGGGTTTGAATTTGACCGGTGGTAATCACTTGTTCTTGGTTGATCTTCACTGGAATCCAGCATTGGAGCAACAAGCTTGTGATCGCATCTATCGAATGGGTCAAACAAAAAATGTTTTCATTCATAAGTAAGCTATCATTCAAGTAATTCATCTCATCTCGACATATAAATGAATTAGCTCAGTGTTCAACAATCTTTCTGAAGAATCTTATGGGAGCTGCACTTGATCAGTGNTGCAATATTCTTTTTGCTACAGTTGTAGATAGGAATTTCGTGGGAATTTGAAACTGCTTTGACGATTTTATGTATCTTTTGTTTCATCGCGTGATTGTCTTTATCAGATTAGAAACGGAAGGAATTTCATCTGTGGAGATTATGCCATTTTTAAAACCTTTGATTTTTGACTGTCTGATTGCTGATGCATTGTTCAATGTTATGACACTGCCAATTCGGTGACAGCGTTCACGACGAACAGTATTCGAATGATTTCATCCGATTTGCAGATTGATTTGTTTGGACACGATTGAAGAACGTGTACTGAACTTACAAGAAGCCAAAACGGCGCTTGCAAAAGGAGTTCTCGAGGGGTTATTCATTATTTATTAAGTTTCTCGATACGGATTGAGCTCATTTAATATTCTTTTTGAATGGTTGCAAAATAAATTCAATGCAAGAATAAACGAAAGAAATGTTCATGCTCGTTACAACACTGTCAAGTGTTCCGTATTTTCTCATTATTAGAAATATTGATTGGGTGAACTTTCGAGTTTATTGCTAATAACGAGCGTTTGTTAAGAAACTGTACTGATGATTGATTATGGGAATAAACAAAGAAGAAT